GTTATATGTTCAGGATATAGAGAGCTTACCGTCAACAATTACACCTGTGCAATACCGGAAATTCACCACAGTCAGGCATCTGGTCAGAAGATATCAAGAATTTGAGAAGTTTTAGCCTTTAGGAAAACTTGAGACATGTCAACTAAGTATTGAGCGATTTTAAAAGATAAAAGTGATTTTCTATCAAAATTATGTTGGACAACAGCGTGGATGTAACTGAAATTCAAGAAAGTCATTCTCATTCTAAATATGATTTATTGAATAAGGTAAAAATTTCAGGATACTTATTAATTGGCGCGCTTTGACAGTAAAATTCATGGTGGCACTACTTACGTACAGACTGATATTTCTAATTTTGAGGTGTTTGAACAAAGTATGAATTGCAGCAATTTTCACTTTATCATTAATATACAGGATGGATTCTTTGTCGTGCATAGCATTAGGATCTTGGAATTCTTTAGATGTCTGTAGCAAACACGCAAATTATTTACATGCATCTGACTTGTATACGGAAAAATTTACAATGCCGCTTCAAGGGTATTCAAATTAACTCCTGTAGTAAATGTTGTTTTCTATACTATCAGCATGCTTCTAGATCTTATCGCAAGTTATTGATACAGATTATCAAAGCGTTACGCTAAACCACCAAATCTTTTCAATTCTTAAAATTAATTTGTTATCGTATTCCGTTCACCTGCGATATGGCTTTCTTCTAAATGACAAACCACATTAAATTCGCTATCGATTTATTTTTATCAGATGCAATTAATTATATATTTCGCAACGGTGCATAAGCAGGTGATTGCGTTGCAGATAACAGGACCGTATAAAAGCTCACCTGAACGATTTGGTTCCATTATAGTCACTCAGTCAGAATGAAGTCTTTCTTGTTGGTTGTCGTAGCATTGGTTGCAGTTCTCAGCTCCGTAACTGGTAAATATGCAGTTTCATGATGTAAATCGTACTATAAAGAAGGTGGGGTTGTACCAAATGTTGAAAGGAAAAAGTCCAGTCAATTCAATCTAATCAAAATCCTACACTCAGACCAAGATCATTTGAAACTAATCTCGTTTGTAATTTATAGCACAAATACCTTGCAAGGGGATGTTCTTTTCCTGTACTGAAACCTGCACGTTTGGAGGCAATCATATTTTTGGAGTTTGTCCTGCGGGACAAGTCTGTTGCCCTATGGGACTAGGAAGAAAGTAGAGGAATATCCACTAGATCAAAGCCATTTGAAAAATGCGAATAAAATCGATTCACACATTCGGTATACTTTCGTGCTTGTGTAATGATGTAAAATGGCTGTTTGAACTATACCATTATTGAAATAAAGTGTATTTTGAAAACTATTACATTTTAAGTTTATTGCATTTATACCTTATATTCTATACTATATACTAGATTTTGTTTTGTTTTTTTTTAATTCATCAAGGACTACCTGATTAAAATATAAAAAGATATAACGTTGATATAACTGGTATCTTATTTTCAATCTTATGCTATGATAGCTCGTTGAAAAGAGAATTAAAAAATCTATTAAGTACTCTAAAAATCCAATATGGCGCCTATTTAACTTTAAGAAGTTGGTAAATGTTCCTCAAAAGTAGCCATCTTGAAGTTTGTTGACACCAATTCTAAATTAAGTGAATCAAAGACAGTAACTTATTTAAAACTTTTTTTATATATTTCGCAACGGTGCATAAGCAGGTGATTGCGTTGCAGATAACAGGACCGTATAAAAGCTCACCTGAACGATTTTGTTTCATCAGGCATTCAGTCAGAATGAAGTTCTTCTTGTTCGTTGTCGTAGCATTGGTTGCAGTTCTCAGCTCCGTGACTGGTAATTATTATTTCATGATATAAAGACGGTGGGGTTGTACCATGTGAAGTTAAACTGAAAGAGTTCAGTCTAATCAAAATCCTAAATTCTGTCAGTTCAACTAGCGTGGTACAATCAGGCCAAACACTTTACCTGTGGCGTTCGATCATTTGAAACTAATCTCATTCGTATCTCACAGCACAAATACCTTGCGAGGGGAGGTTCTTTTCCTGTGTTGAAACCTGCACGTTTGGGGGCAATCATCTTCTTGAAGTTTGCCCTGCGGGAAAAGTCTGTTGCCCTCTGGGACTCGGAAGAAAGTAGAGGAACATCCACTTGATCAATAAGCCATTTGAAACGATCGAGTATACTTTCGTGCTCGTGTTCACAATGTAAAATGGCTGTTTAAACGATACGTATTGTTGAAATAAAGTGTATTTTGAAAACCATTAGATTTCAAGTTTATTGTACTTATGTAGGAACTGATGTGATATGTGGTTCTCTTTTGCATATGCATGAAGCACAATATAGTCCGTAAAAGGCCCGTACTAAGAACCCTGTTTTGCATGTGATTCATCTGAACGTGGTATTGTATCACCAACAACGGTTATCCAGAAGGGCAATTTCCTTCAAGAAAATACTAATCAGTGACGATAAAAACATATTTTTGCGGTCTGCTTTGGACCATTAAAAACCTCAAAAACGCAATCTGAATCAAATTTGCAGAAATTGGTACCTACATGCGACTTCAAACGAAAATGGACGATGTTTTAATTTTCAATAAAGTAGGTATGACGACTAACAATAATGTTGATTACTCTGATCAAATGGGTTAAAGGTGCAGGTTAATGGTAAACTTGTAACCTTAAAGTTGTCCCGAGCGATGAACATTTTTTTGTAATATTTTAAGATAGCAGCTTCGAATAACCAAGACATTTCAACTATAATGATCCAACACAATTAAAATCAGAAGAACGATCAAGGAGATAGAAGTGTATTGTAAAGTCAGTTATTGGTGCAATTATGGTTGTCCTGTTGTTGTTCTCCTACGCCATTAATGTATTCTTGGAAACAAGGGGTTTTGAAGCTCTAAAGATCATTGAACGCATACAGCGCAACACCTATTAAAATTCGCACTCTTTTAAAATAAAAAAATAAAAATAAAAATGATAACACTATCACTTATTTGCGATTTTGGTCTATTTCATCAAAAATACTAACTGAAAAGGTCGTGAAGAAGTTTTAAATAATAATATATATAATCCAAATTTCTGGCCTGCACAGATGCGATAAACGACGAACACAAAGCACTTTTCACTGCATAGGAAAATGCAGTTGATCTAAAAATTGAAAAAACATTCTTCTTCCTCTCTGGGGGGATTAATGTATGTGTCTTTCCCAAATTTAAAATACACTCTTATTATATACACCCCAAATTAAAATAAGAGAATGGATCGACCACTGCATTTAAACATCTTGGTTAGTGTAACTCATAACTTGCAACAAAAATGTTTATTGCAGCCTTAATTTGAGAATAACATTTTTAACATTAATAGTACGTAAAATTCGTACTCCTCGATCTAAAAAACATGTCGCTTCAGAATAAAATTTTCAATATTTCGGCCGCCATCTTGAATTACTCGAAATGCTCAACTCTGGCAGAGTTGCATCAATCGGTTTTAAAACTTACATAAAATAAACTATCAAAATCAGTCAAAACAGTTTATTCTACATCGAAACAACCTTTTCATGATGGCACCCATGCAGACTAAAACGTCTGTGAAGATTTAAATAAACTGACAAGCATATACTTGCAAAAGTATTTACAATAACAATAAAATTTATAACTCACCTACTTTATAATACATGTGTAATAATGCGTAATATCTCGATATTGTTGTGCTAACAAAAGTATTTTGTATTTAATACTCAAGTATGTGACGGATCTCTCAAATAGGGAGGTTCTGTGTCGGGGATGTGTGTAGAGTTGGCCCACACAAATATAGCATAACGTAATCGACTATCAATTTGCGCGTGGTAAATGGACCTGATTTGCTTTTTATCCAAAACGAGTGCTATCAATGTAAATGTCCAGAAATTAAGGGTATGAATCGATATGACATTTCCATTATACACATTAATGATTGTAAGCGGTGTCTTTTTATTATTTGTTATTGTTGTACTAACTAACCTACCACAAGTAACTGGTGAGCTTTATCAAAATACTAAAAGAAACCACTCTCAATATACAAACTTCCAAATAATAATCACAAAGACTTTCTTTTGAACGTATCTACGAGTACATTTATCGATTACCGATTGAATTACATATCAGATGCGGTAGGTAGATTTACTTATTGGAATTATGAATGATTTCCAAGTTCCAAACTAAAAAACATTCAAAGACCACGCTGGAAACTGTAAAATATTAATTGACTATACGTTCATACGAGTACAAAATGAAGTTACTCATCGAATGAAAACGTTGATCAAAATGTCTTGGTTTCTAATGTGGACGACTGCTGTTTACGCCAATGCTTTACAGACTGAAGCAGTCTAGAAAACAGACAATAAGATTCAAGAAAAAATAGAAAACGTAAGTCCTAGTTTAATATGAAGAAGAGGAAGTAGCATCAATCAGCAGTTCAATCTTAAACATCTCGTTCCAACATTGGATAAAGATCTATCCTAGAAATACGGAAGACTCAGCTTGTACACGCCAGCCATCAACTATTTCAAGATCTCCAATAACTTTCCAGCGCTCAATTTGACTACCTAGGTGCATTTTCGTATTCTTTCCCAAGCTACACAGAATGTGGCGGTAGCAGGGATGGCTCAGTTTACGCACTTGAATGTCTGGTCACACGTTAAGACTCTGTGGATGGGGAACCGGATGACCATGACTACGTAGTGGGAAGCCTAGATACTTTAAATCACAACTGGTACGCCAAAATAAGTTTTGCGTTTCCTCATTTCATGTAATTTAGGTTCCCTCAAAGCCTATCGCTGGTGATTGGTAGACTTTATCAAAATAATAAGTAACAAAGAGATCCTTTCATTTATTAATTTGAAACTACCGGTTCCGTTTCATTAAATAATAAACACTTAGGCCTTTGAACCTGTTTATCGACTCATTTATGTTTGTAATCAACTAAAAATTTTCCAGGTGGTGGTTGTAGGCTTGTAGGATAACAACACTCTATAAATACGAAACGGAGCGATTTGTTTTCATTAGACATTCAGTCACAACATTTACTAACGGTCACAATGAAATTCTTCTTGCTCGTTATTGTTGCATTGGTTGCAGTTCTCTGCACTGTAAATGGTAAGTATGATGTTAAGTTCATGTCTTTTTTTTAATTAGCTAAAATTTGTTTCACTCATTCGCATTTACAACAACTGACAGAGAGCTTCCATTGAAAGTAATAAAATTGCATTATCAATTCGATCAAATGTCAAGTGTGGGAGGGATGTTTGGTTCGGTTCCTTTGGAACTACAGCTACACTACACCTGAAACGAAAATGCTATACCCACATTCATCCCTTCATGTTTCAATTGTGATATTAACATCGCATTTATTTCACAGCACAAGTGCCTTGCCAAGGACTTTTTGCATGCGTAAGTGTCTGCGCTGTTGCCGGAAATAATGCGTTTGGAGTGTGTCCTTCGGGCCTGGTCTGTTGCCCTCTGGGAGTAGGAAAGTAGAGTCGATCAACCGGTCAAGAGTGTGGATCCACAAACTCTATATGCTTTTGTGCACTTCCATAACACGATTGCAAAATGGCTTATTGCAAAATACAGTAATGCTTTTGGAAAGTTATTTTTTTCATTCCTGTGGTTAAAATTTTCTGTTGGTTTTTACTAATTTCCCACTCATACGGTCAATTGTAAAATCTACAAATCTGGCTTAACGAGAGATCAATGTGGTTTTTGAAATGGAATAGCAATTTTGTGTACTGTAATTGGTATACGCTACCTTCTGTACTAAACTACATTGAGTCTGTGCCCCGTTGTAACGAAAAAACTATTCTAAACCCTTCCAGCTTTAAGGAATAATTCCCAACAGTAAATTATTTTATGATTATCTTACTTTTACAAAGTTGCTCAATACAGAACCAACTTACACTACTTTCTGTGCTAATTAATTTCGAAGCAGCGTACAACGTACGAATGAAGTAACGGTAAACCCAATCTAATTTAAAACTCATTTGGCTACAGAACAACTCGTCAAAATTTTATTGCACCGAACTTATGCAATTCTTTATAAAACTCGTCAAAAGTACTTCAATTACGTAATTCACTTTATGTTGCGAGATATGAATCTCGGGTACCTGTTATAGGTGCGCTGCAAAATGTAAAAATTATACCCATATTAAGAACAAGTACCTACTGCATGGAAATTTCGATGCGACATAAAAAGCTCCCATAATTTAATCTAATAGCCACCGTAATCGCGCGTCGAGCGCATATACTTTGATTATACCGCTTATAGTGAGAGGCAAAATACGTTTTTGTAGCGTTTTATCCAATTATGTAAAATGGGCGATGCTTATCGATTATTATTACACAATGAAACTTAAGGTGTAACACCAATATTGCCTCCATTTAGTGCCCTTATTTGCCATTCGGAAGCAATCTCATGAAAAATTCAGCAGCTTGTTGCACGAAAAAAATGAGAATTAATTACACCACTACAGCAATCCCTGAAAATGTTTGTTTTAGAAAGATAATCGATTTCACTTCCATGACAGCATTAAATATTCAGGGCAATCGAATGTAGATTTTTAATAAATCATAACGTGCGTTTCACCCATTCCATTTGTGAAGATTTACATAAAGAACCAATCCTTCAATTTTTTCCTAGTTCTTTAAGGAAAAAACCGTTTTTAATCAGACAACTATATTTTGTTGGCAACTTTGATAAATAATAATTTAAAATAAAAATTTTTGCAAAAATGCGCTAAAAATACGGGATGGGCCCCTTAATCACACGAGAATAGCTCTAGAGACTGATTACAAGAAAGGGAGACGAGCTATTGAAAACCTTCCAGGATATATACCCACTTACAGTATGACTTCTTTTCCAATTTACATTTTACAATATTTTACATTAGAATAGTTGGTTAACAAAATGTATGGGCACTTTGTGTTTGATTTTTACAGGCAAACAGTTCAGAACGCCCTAACTTTGAAGTCAGTTTTCAGGAGGAAAAATCTTCAGCAGTAATCGTTAGACAAAAGTTCGCCGGGACATCGTTGGATTCAAAAAGATTTAGAACCGAAGAAGCAAGTTTGGTATCGAAAGAATTAAAGAGCGCTTTTCGACCCCTTTATTATGTCAACTACTACAGGTTTTTCAAGAAATTAAAATGGAACCACATTCGAGTAAAAAAAATGCCTGTCACTACCATTCTCGTTATTAAGATATAAGTGAAACAATATTTTATGTGCTGTAGGTACCCAAATCGAATCCTTTAAAGATTCCCGTGTTTAGTTTTTAGTTTCAACAAACCATTTCTTAGGCTTAGGGGTAGATAAACAAAACGTATAATCTTTCAAAACCAAAAATCGATCGATTTTTTTTCCATTTTGAAGAAGTCTACATTTCTGATTGATTAGTTATAAAATTCATCTCATAAAACAATCAAGGAACATTATTTGATTTATTGTTCAAAATAGCTTTCAGAAGTAGATAATAATAAATGCGAATTGATTCAGGAAAAGTCCCGAGTACTGTCGATACGGTACCATACTTAACAGTGCGCAAGGGTTTTGTTAATTCGAATCTAAAATTCTTGCATATCTCCTATAATAGTATTCAAGCGCGTTACGACGTTTATTATTCAGAAAGTTTACGTTTGCGACACGAGCGCGAGCTTGCCAGCGAGTGGAGCAAGTGATTCCGGGTGAATAAGAGTTATTCTGAACTTCGCCCTAAAATCAAGGCTTCGATTAATGTGTTAGATGAAATAAAGACCATATTATTATTATTATTATTATTTGTGTTTTGCATACGGCTTTATAGGTTATACGGTTATCATTTCCAATGTCTCCGATGGTTGCATGGATTGAGAAATCTGTGAATTTTTCAAATCGCAAACAGAAACCGAAGCGTTCATTTTTTAAACAAGAAAATAGAATAGGTCAAGGACTGATAAAATGAATAATTTAATTAATTCTCCAGCATTATAATTAAATTCTTAGTTTTTGACATTATGTGAAACCTGTGAATTAAATGCTCATAGGCAATGCTCTCATTGTCAGATTGTCGTAAAAAAGCAATGACGATTCCACATAATGAACCGCCCATAAAATTATAATAAACAAAATGCGGATGTGTACACCATGTATCTTGAGAACTAATCCTAATAGTTTCTTCCACCGACGTCAAGCGGGCAATTCTGCAATAGATAATAATGTCAACTGTTCCGTTACCTGCACTAAATTAATACATTTGTAATATGACTTTTGAAAAACTTCATTTGTTGCACATGATTCAAGTAGTCCTAATTTGTTAATTTAGGGATGTTAAAAATTAAGAATTTTACCTGCGCTGTTGCTGTTTAATTAAGGAACCAAGAATTGAATCTTTTTTATCCTTCTCTTGGCCCACTCAGAGGGGTGTGCTAGATTTGAATTTTTTCACTTTATTTATCACCAAAATGTATTGGAAAATTCTTCCTTTCGTACTTTTTTATCCAACCCCACCAGACGATAAACTATTCTCGAACGTCATCAAAAGTTACTCTAAAATTTTGGACTAATTTATCGAACTAGTTGCCGCAACATTCACAAGTTTGAGTTAGAGCTAGTTTATAAATTAAAATTTATCTCGCCGAGCGAAACTGATAACTCTTCCTGGAATTTCGGAATTACAACGCCGCACGATACAACAAATTGCCGCGTAAATTTCGACGACGCACGCCTTAAATTAAACGGCACATTGTAAAAGTGATAGAAACGTTACTTACTTGGGAAAAGTGTACTCAATTATACTTGGTGATGGGTGAAAAGTATTCGAGAAACATGTGCTTATACTGTCACTATAAACTCTGTCCTTGTTTAAGAAATGGGCGGCATGAATGCACCAACAAATTTAAAAAAACCGGGTAATTGTTCTAATTGGGGGTGTTTAAGGGTTAAGCTGAAGCGTCCATTTGCATAGTCTGGGAAAAATCGTTTAAATTTATTAACGTAGTTGGAACATGTGCGTCCAAGATTTACGATGGATTGATGGGATTGCGACGCTTACAATCAGTAAACGCGGTAACTGAAGCACTGGCAGTTTGATAGTACATACGCCGCGAGTCTTTCAGCGTCGCGACGACACGCTTGCGCCACCGCCGCCACCGAGGCCCAACAAGCATCCGACCGGAATCGATACCATATATCCCTCACGATATCCGTCAACCCTTAAAGAACTTACGACTTTGTATTTCTTATATATTTAACCTGTCTCTCTAATAATATATAAATTGCCAGCGACAACAGTGTCGCCCCATTTTAGCCAAAATGAATTTTCTTTCAAGGCGGCGGCGGATTTTTAATTACCCAAGCGTCACAGAAAACTATTCATGTGGTAGCACGTAGCCAATTAATTTTCTAAGCGGGATTCTGTCAGTTACCTACTTCTACTTGCGACGCCCGCAAGGTGTGTAACGAAATTTAACGGTGGAGGTAGTATAAGTCAAGGCGTCATATGTTTGTGCAAAGGGCGTACAACTTCCAGATCAATCTTGAAAGTGAATTATTAATAATTACGTGTCCACATCGGCAATGCCGTCAGCTCCTTTGAAACAATGTGAGAATAACTTTTCGTTCGACGGACTTTGCAAACTATAGTATGGATGTGGAATTTTGTCATTTAGTCAACGGTTATACGGTTAAATCATAAGGGAGGTTTTTGTTAATGATACCCAACAATCGATGAAGGCGAAATAAGAAACGATTTAATTAACAATTTACTTCTTACCTCAACAGACAGTAGAACCGTGATATAAGACAGGGTTATAAGGCCATAAGTGATTTTCAATTTCGCAAAGCTAAAATGAGTATGAGGTTTGCTTTCTCCCCTGAAACAGTTGCAGCAAGAACAACATGGGTGTTGAACGAAGGGTGCACATTTGTTGAAATATGGTGTACACATGAATGAAACACACGAAATCATGATGAAAAAGTTAAAATTTTAGGTGAGCTAAACGCAGGGGTATCGATATAAATATTATACATTGATGCAACAATGTATAATATTTATATCGATACCCTTGCGTTTAGCTCACCTAAAATTTTAACTTTTTCATTGGAAAATCTTGAATTTTTGGAAATCGAAAAAGAATCTCCAACATTTTCTAGATTTTCTAGTCTGGTTTGTGAGGGGATGGAAGAAAGTATAAAAAGTAGGGTTAATTGGAGAGGACTGAAGAAGCGAATATAAAATACAGGGTAATGTGTAGGGGATGGAACTCTTAAATGGAAGAGTGAGAGGGGGGCAAAGATGATGACTCGACAGGTTTTGGTTTCTCCTTCTGAAAACTGGTGGTGACCGTTTAGAAATTATTTAGATACTCAAGGGTCTATGGTCACCAGATGTACGAACACGAAAAAAGAAGACCCTGAAAGGGGGCGAAAACGTAATAATATGAAACGAGACAAAAAAATACTTAAGGGATGTTGGATGCCTTGAACACGAGGCAATAAGTGTACGATTAGGTAAATTACACGTCACACACCACAATGTGGGAAAATAAACGTAAGACGGGAAAATTAGTACAATAAACAAACGCTACAAAAGAAACAAAAAACTGAAACACAACGTAGAAAGCAGGGTGAATGAAAAATGTGCATGAAATTACGGGGGATAGTAAGGAATTAAAGGAGTAAAAGGAATAAATAATGAAACCGGAAAAAATTATACTGAGTGTTCCTAAATATGATGTAAATGCGGAAGGGGCAAATTCTTTGGCTTATTTTATGACTAAAACATAGAGATTGGTCCGCAAACGCTTCATTGCCGATCTACAGAGTGCTTAATTCTACAGTACAACTTATACCTTTAATTTATAAACATATATAAACACAAGATACAATTTTTAATGCCAACTGTCAAAATTCAATAAAGTAAGATATTATTGAATTAAAAAAATTATACTTTAATTTAACTAACCACCGAAAATTGATCTTTTTCTTTTCTCGATAACGTTCACAGATACAAAAAGGTATAAAATGGTACACGATCCCTAAAAAAACAACACCTTGTAGATTCTCACTACAATTGACCTGATTTAATTTGGTATGTTTCACTGAAAAACCCTTTTCCATAGCTTTAAAACATTTTAGGCATGCCACCTCCGAATCAGACTCTTTTTCCAATCCTTCATAGAGTTACATAGGTACTCAATATAAAAGTCCCGTGAGCTAAATGTGCCATTGTGCCTCTGTGAAATAATTCCTACCTTCTGCGGTCAGTTTTCCTTATTGCTTAAAAATAACCTCGATATAAGGAAGGCGAAAACGAAAAGTTTTAGGGAAATTTGGAAAAAATAAAATGACATTAAAACTTTAGAAATGTACCAATTTACCGAGCACGTAGTTTTATGGTTTGAGCTCCAAACGAGAAAGAAATTAAAAGTGATTTTACAATGAAAAATGGAAATTATACGGATTAAATAAATGAAAACGGCCGATGATCGATTTTTAGTTTTCCAATTAAGCTCCTTTCCCGCCCTGTTTTGAAAATGTTTGTTTCTCTTTCTTCTGTAATTTTTCGCCACTCTTTGTCTTTGCAATAGAGTATGATTTTGTGCTATTCTAAGTACGAAAATAACAACTCTACAATTTTAGAATTCTAAAAAATTCACCGGCTCATGGAAAGTACTAAAAAGGGTTATTTGGTCTTGAATATTTTTTATTGCAAATAGTCCATGGAGTTCTTTCTTGTCATTATTCTGCGTCTGCGCAAACAAAATTTTCTCGGCCACGAATTGTAGCTGAATTTTTTAAAACTAAAGTGTGGTTCTTTATTTACATGTTTAATCGGGGTACCATTTTGGGGTAGAAATTTTCATTTTATTTTTTTTCAGAGAATTATGAGGATCATACCAAAAAAGTATTGTGGTTGAGAGAAAAGTTAAAGAAGAAACGCATATTTTAGAGGTAGTTGAACGAAGCATTTTGGACACTTGATTTATTTTGATCTTCTTTTAACAAAATGATCTGTCACTTCTTGTATTGGAATAAACGGAAAAATGTAGATCCCAAAGACTTTTCATTTCGATGGAGACTGTAACAGTAACGCTTACGCTTTTTCAGGATTCATTAAAATTTAAGAGCCAAGTCAAGGACCACGCTACACTAGGGGGCGGGTGGGGTCCCTTAGATTATGGGACGCTCGTCCGCAAGGTTTACTTTGGAGAAAAAGTCTTTAGGAAGGGGCTGCCGCGTTTTGATCGCGCCACTCTGATTAGTGTTCGTGACTGCTGATGAAGAAAGGTTTTGAACGTGGGACAACTCAGCATTCAGTGTGGACAAAAGTTGCTTGCAAGATCTGCACCCTGAGTGCATGTAGTCGCTTAGTCTTGCAGCATCCTCAAATTCAACTTGGGCATAATAATAAATATTTGCACGAACAATCAACTTAGTGCACAATTTAAAATAAAATTTAAGAGAACTTCTTGCTCTCGCTGTACTTAGTCTGTCAGAGCGTATCCTTGGTCACGCAGCAGCACTATTTCGGTGTCCCCACTTGACATCATTTTTACTTTTCCGCCCGCATATGGGTAGAAAGTAAGAAAACCAATGATGCAGAGTAGAAATGAAATGGAATAGTTTCTAATAAGGGTTTTATATAGAAGTGCGTGTAATTTTCATAAAGATTTCGAGATTCGTCTTCAAATTGAAACGAATTATTTTCTACAAAGATGATGTTCTGAATTAAATTCAGCCCAAGTTGCCTTTATAGTATAAATATTTAAGTACGCATTTTTTTCATTTCGTGCTAAGCCGCTTTGGCTTAAATAAAACGGATAAGTAATTAGTAGCTTTAGACAACGTTAGAGTTTATTATGAAATTATTATACAACATTCGCATAATTATGAATGATGCTCTAATTAATTTCAGTTCAAGTTTATTTGATTTATCGTCCAGAACAAGGAAAATAATTAAGCAAATAAAACATTGACACTTTGATTTATGAATCATTTCAAATATAAGTCTTTGTAAAGTAATTGATTAATAGATACGTTATTCAATTACAAACCTGATTTGCACCACCAAATGAATAAAATCGTATACTCAAAAGTGAGGGAGCGGCGGAATTGTAGGGGTCTACGTTTACGTTTGGTGGATTAAGGATTTACCCTAACAGACTTCACCCTTTAATCGTACGGTAGACTGATATCGCTCGAAGGTACTCGCAATTGCAAAACTGAAATCATTACAGACGCGTTTCCACCCTAGAATCAAATTGACACACTGCATGTTCAATTACAGTATTTAATTCTCGTTTGTAGTGTTGTTAAAATTTAAGCTTACAACCCTCCGCGTTACGGATTAGGAAAAAAAAATGGTATTAAATACGAAATGGATTTGAACGCGTACGATTGTCGGTTTAATTTTCAATTTTTACCGCTGATATAAAGACCTTTTCATTATTAATCCTTTGACGACTTTATCGGAAATGTAATCAAATTTAAATGTCCTCCCTTAAGTGAGGTCCTTGTTGACATATAATTACTATTTTAATTTCCCATCGGAATAATTAAAACTGTTTTTGATTTTATTTCGTTATATTCTTGCGAAGCAATAAAGGGAATTAGTATGAATGCCGAATTTGGAATTAATTACGGGATAATTGATTGCAATTACGCAATTCTAAATAAAAAAGTTCTTGGAAAAAAAAAGAATTTGTGTTTTGTGATTTATGGAAATCGATGGACGAACATAAAAAGTTTGTCTTAAAATCACCAGTTTAGATTATGACATTAACACTTTTTCCTATAATGGCAGACACTTTAAAAGCAAAGGATCCTTTCGTTAATTATTATTAGAAAATTGGTAGTGGGCTTAAAAGCCATATTGTGGCAATGGTTGGCACAGATCCTCAGCCCACCATAATTTAACGATAAATGAGCAAATGATAACTATAAGGAAATTTTGTCAAGTAAATAGTGTCCACTGTTGTGGAAAATCCTGATTAAATTAGCTAAATTATTTGTCTCTCACTGTCAGTCATCTACTATCCAGAAACAGCTTTCAGTCATTATCA